AAAAATAATTATAAGTTATAAAATTAAAACTTATTCATATCATATTTTATCTTGTTTACAACCATTAACAAAATAATCTTACATTAATATATTAATTTTTTTGCATTAAATTATAATAAAAAATAATTTTATTTATTATTTTATATAATCTTTTAATTTAATATAATAAAAATTAAATCTTATTATATTTATTAGATTAGAAAAAGCAAAATTAAATAATTATAAAAAATATTATTATAAGAAAATTTTAATTAATTAATAATTGAAAAATTCAAAAAAAATTATTATAAAAAAAGTTACTATAAAAAATCTAATTATAATAAATTTAATTATATATTAATTATAAAAACTTTTTATAATATTAATATTAATTATTTTAATTTAATTAAAATTTTAAAAATAAGTAAATTATAATTAAATATTAAAAAGTAATTTATTATATAAAAAAATTAATAATTATTATTTATTTATTTTCAAAATATAATATGTATTTTTATATAAAACTTTTTATAAAAAATAATATAATATTTATTATTAAATATTATTAATATATTTTTTAATAATTATAATCAGCTTTTTTTATAATTATCTTTCTTTATAATTATTTAATTTTTAAAAAATAAATTTAATTAGAAAGTTAAATTAATAAGAAAAAATAAGTATTATAATAATTAATTATATATTATAATCTTCTAGTTATATGTTATAAAATATCAGGAAAATTCATATAAAAGTTTCAAAATATAGTGAAATATTAAAATAAAATTCATATAGAAAATTAATTTAAAAATAGACAAGAATTTATAATTAAAACTTAATCTTTATTATGATAATTATTATTATTATTATAAATATAGAATAGAAATAATATTTTTAAATAAATAAATTAAAGTTATATAAAAAATAAATAATTATTAATATATATTATTTAAAATAGTAATATTTTTAAAAGATATTTATAGATATATAAATATAAAAAATAAAATTATAAATAAGAAATAATAATATATTTAGTTATAAGAGAAAATAGAAATTTTATAAAGAATTATTTTTTAAGATAAAAATGATTCAAAGAATCATAATCAGATAATTATGATATAATAAAATAATACAGCATGATTTTGAACTAATAGTAATTTTATTATATATATAGTAATAGTCAAAAGTAATATAATACTTAAATTTTTTATTAATTACAATTAGTAAAAAATTAAATATTATATTACTTTTAATTATTATTATATAAGTTAAGTTATGAAATTTATTAATAAATTAGTATTTGATTTTTTATATAAAAAATTTAAATAAGATATTAAATAATAAAAAATAATTAAAATTCTAAATTTTTATTTTATTAATATAATAAAAACAAAAGATAGTAAAGAAAAAGAAATAAAATAAGTAAAAAATAAATAATAAAGATATATTATATAAAAGAAAAATAAAAAATATAAAAAATATATATTTAAAAAGAGAATAATTAAGAAATAAATAATAATTAAACCAAATTATAATAATAAAACAAATTAAATATTATAATTTTATAAGATAATATATAGAAATATAATTTCAAATTTAATTTAAATTTAGTTTAATATAAATTATAATTCAAAATAATATAAATAATTATTATTAATAAAAATATAAATTAAATATAATAAATTATTAAAATATAATTATTAAAATGAAAATATACTTTATTTTTATATTTTTAATATAATAAAAAATTATTTATATTTATATTTATTAATATTTCTTATTAAATTTTTCAAAATACAATTATTATTCATATATATATATATATATATATAAGTAAATAAATACTAATATAATAATATAATAAATTGAAAAATACCTAAATTTTTTAAGTGTTATTAATTATATGTTGAATTTTTTAAGAAATATTTTAATCAATTTAACAAAATGATAATTTAATAAAAATAAATTTGATAGTTATTTCTAATAAATTAACTTTAAAAATGCAAACTTTCTTATTATAATTAATAAGTCTTTCAAATATAAAATATTTAATATAATTTGATATTTATTAAATATCAATTTTTTAAATTGTAAATAAATGAAATAAATAAAAAACTAATATTTACTATTCATAATAATGTTTTATTTAAACAACAAAATGGAACAAAATATATTAATTCTATGCTTATTCAAAAGTTATTTAAATATACAAGATGACTCTGTGAATAATCTCTATTTGATTATGATATATTATAGGTTAAAGCAAAAAATTATGTTTATAAAATGAGAAGATTTGCTAAAAATTAACAATGAAGAAATTTATCACAATAATAATGAAGAGGCTTTATTAACAAATAATTATCAGAAAATAATAATAATAATAAAGAAATTTGATTTGATAATAAAGAAAGATAAATTGAAGAATATTATAAGAGAATATAAACTGATGGAAGAACTACTAAATAATCTTTACACCCTATCAAAATTAGATAATCTTTTAACAGAATGGTTATAGATTTAATTGGATCATTAAAATAAAAAATTTAAAATTTACAAGTTTATAGAATTTAAATACAAAACCCTATTTATAATATCAACTCAATTTTTTAAATTTCTGAAGCACAGTGTTTGTGTGACAGAAATGTTCTTAAGAGAGTCTGCCAAATGGGGAGTCTACCATAATGGTCGTGGTTTATGCGACAAATTACGATGCGTGTACGAACTGTATTACATTCAAAATCACAAGACGTTGAAAATTCATATGTACTTACTAGATTCTACATGTACATGTAACAATATAATAAAATTTCCCCAACATTTTGATTATGTAAGTGCATTATCTTTAGGAAATTCAGGATTATTTATTATGTGCTAACGTTAAAGTGTTAGCGTTAGCGTTGGTATCTTGACAAAAAAGTAATATTTGTATTAACGTTAAAAGAATGTGCCTATTTTTAAATATCATCAAAGAACCAATCACTTTTTGATCAATTAAATCTCGAATTTTAAAAACATTTGTTTTTTTTTAATTTTCCTAATGATTGAAAAATAGAGTTCGAATTAATACCGATACAGAGGTTGATCCATCCCAATTAATAAATGATAAAATAGATGGACATTTAGTGCGAACAGCATTTTACATTTTTAATTTAAAGAAACGTGTAACGAAACTACGCGAAGATGATGAAAATGCGACAGGCACTCTATTTTATTTAATTGCAAAACTATAACGAGAATTAAAAATTTATCTTTTTTATGCAAGCAATGAAATTCTTTTACTAATTGATAATGTACACGACACGTAGTGTATATATGTTATCCATTGGTTTATACGAATCTTTTTTTAAAGTTCGAAAATCTCTTTCAAAATCGAAACATGAATATTTTTCCATACGGGGAAGATGCAATTGTGGACGTTTAATAAACTCCTTGACCTGAACAAAAAATTACGTTTTGGTACTAGTCATATTCTGGTTCGATACTGGATCACAGAGTACAAAATGGCAAATCTTCATACGGGGGGGGGTTTTTGTGCATTTTGTGCTCTCTTCCATTATTTTGAATCATCAATCGTCATCTTAATATAATGACCACATTATTGACGTATAAATTACATAGCATTATATTTTTGGCTTTAATTTGGATACGATCAATCATTCATCCATTGACAGTAACAATATTAAGACGTTTGTTATTATTATTATTACGACCATTTTAAGCAAATTTTACTTTTTCGTGCTACCCAACCAATCAAAAAAAATGCATGTAATACCAAGTTCGTATGTATGCTACATGTACATATAACTGAGTGATGTCAAATTATCGAACAACACAAAAAAATGAGAAACGGTGATGATATAAATTTTGATCGCATGCCCCCATTATACTCAAAATTAAAAAATACATACATGTGTAATATCGATATACTATACTTCCTAAAATATTGTCGTTTTCGAAATTGAGTTACTTACACTTTAGAATGTTCTAGTTATAGTAGTATCTAGAAGCACACGTTCACATAGGAGCTACTACATACTTCTAATAATCTTCCTTTAAATTTTCTCCTTTTGACAAAAAAATTCGCTTTTTTGTTATTTCGATCTTCATAATGCAACCACGCGTTCATCGCTAACTTCAAAAGCATTAATTCGATCCAGCAAAAAATATAAATTGACAAAATAATCAATAAACTCAAAATAAATATCAACAACGAATGCCCAATATTCTGACCATTCGTTTTGTCTATTTCCGGGTTTTTATTTATTTATTTATGTTTTTTCATTTGGTTAAAATTGTGTGCAATTATTAATTAATTTTATTACCGTTAGTGAACATTTTATTTACTGACCCAGGCTATCAGTATATCTATTCGATAAACATACACAAACACTTTCCAATAGACTGACAAAAGGCAAAACATACGTGTGTGCATGTGTGTTTTCTTCTTTGTCTCCTTTATTTATATTTATCATTATTGCTAGTATCTATTGCTGGTATTTATAGACATATACGTCTTGAATCAAAAAATCACACACTACACACTAAACAAACTTATATTTTAGTTGGCTCTCCCATTTTTTCCCTTCTTTTCGTTCAAGTGAGAGTTACCGCATTCTTTTCACTCAATCGAATCTTCTTTTTTATATTCCCGTTCATTTAATTGCAAAGAAATCAAACCAGCATCTTACCGTTCTTTCATTAATCGTCAATTAATTCTATTTCTCGCCCTTCTTCCCCTTGTCTATACGCACGTAATTGACGCACAATAATCCGTGTTGGTTTGTATTCGTTACGCATACACAACAATCACCCCTGTACTTCTAGTCGTTTATCATTTTTAATTCCTATCTTTCAAAAAATCATCTATATCAAAAATTGGAAAGGAATTCTCCCTTTCCGCACAAAATGCAGTTATAGTTTCATGATTAATGAAAAAATTGTAATTTCATATATAATTCAAAATACGAATAGAGAATAAACCGGAAAGAAAAATTCCACTTTACTTGAAAATGAAACGACAAGCAGGCATAGAGAAAAATTCGAATTCTGATGATTGGAAAAACTCGCCAGAATCCAGTGAAAAAAGTAATGTCACGATATTTCAACCACCACCGCTATCGGTATTACCGCCAGCATACGGAACAAATGATAACGATATTAGTCACTTTTCCACTGAAAATTATCCTGAAGCCACAGAAGATATCGAGATAATACCACAATCGTTATGGTATCGAACAGAATTCGAGACATCCCCACCACATCCTCTCGGCAACCATAACCCAATAAATCACTACTATAATAATAAAAGTGAAGCGGCGAAAAATTCACCGCCGTTTTATCCGGTGTATCCCGCCTTGGAGAATAGTCCAATTGAGGCGGTACGAGCTACCGTGTCGATAAATGATGATCGGACATTAGAATGCTTGACATTTCGCTTTTGGGTGTTGAGCTTTTTGTTTACTGTGTTCGGGGCAGCGTTTACACAATATTACTATTTTACAGATACGCCCTATCAGTACTCGGTGTTTGTTGTGCAATTGGCGAGTTATCCGTTGGGCAAATTGATGGCTAGATTTTTGTCGAGAAGAAAAATTCGACTTGGAAGTTGGTTTGAGTTCTCTATGAATCCTGGGTAAGAAACGTCGATGTCGATAATATAATGCTTGTTAATCTATCTAATGTTGATTAATTTAAAAAATATAGACCTTTCAATATGAAAGAACATGCATTAATAGGGGTTGCTGCTGCTTCAGGTAAGTTAGACTTTTGGTTTTTATGCAATAAAAACTTAATAATTTATTTTTTTTTGATGTTATAGCAACTCTTCCCCCGTATGCGATAAGCTTGCTGGCAGTGCAACGATTATATTTTGCTCAACAATTCAGTCATATTGGAAGCTTACTTCTTCTAATATCATCACAGTGTCTAGGGTATGGTCTAGTAAGTTTTTGATTCGTCAATCTTTTAGTATTTCAATTATCATCTATAATAACAACGAAATATCTAATTAAAAATCTCAAAAAATAGGCCGGAATAGCATACCCAATCCTTGTCGAAATGCCCGCAATGGTATGGCCACCCAATTTAGTAACTGTCGCATTCTACAACTCGCTCCACGAGCATAAACACAATTTCATACGGACGCTTTCAAGAATGCAATTCTTTTGGATAGTTTTTGGTGCGATTTTTCTTTGGGAACTAGTGCCGCAGTTCTTTGCGCCGATACTTGTGAGCTTTACGGTTCTTTGTTATTTCGGGCACAAAAATCCAGATTTAGTGAGGTTAGGAAGTGGTGAAAAAGGATTAGGAATGTTGACACTTACCTTTGATTGGACAGAAGTGACGTGGACTACGCCATTGTCTTCGCCTTGGGTAAGCATCTTTTTTTTTGTTTTGTTTGCTTGTGATTTCAATCATGGGCTCTAACATAATAAAAATACTGATCCTTGAAGTTTGCATTTAGTGGGCACAGTCGAATCTCTATTTGGGTACAGCTATTTTCCTTTGGATAATAATGCCAATAGTCTATTACTCAAATTTCTGGTCAGCAAAAGCATTTTCTATCACATCAACAAAAATACAAGACAATCAGGGCCATCCATATAACACCAGTCGTATTATAAATATTAATGGGTCAACAATCAACAACGACGGATACGATGGATACTCTCCGATCCGATTAAGTCCGTATTTGGCACTTGCGTATGGCTGTGGATTTATCGCAATCACTTCAACGATAACACATGTTTGTCTTTGGCATGGAAAAGACATTCTCGAAAAGTTGAAAAGCACGATATTAGAAATTCTTACTCGTGATGATAGAATCGCGTTTGATCCTACGACATTGAGTGATTATGATTCGGCTCCGTTCCCTACTTTCGAACAAGACCCGAGAAAGTTGGAAAGAGATGCCTGTATACATGTTAATATGATGCGTGCATATCCTAAAGTCCCTATTAAATGGTACACCGGGTTATTTTTTGTGTCGCTAATTATGGCATGTGCGTTTACTGTGTTAGAGCCGGTTGAGCTACCCATGGTGAGTGGAAATATTAAATCAAGTCAAATGGCATTATATCGTTCAATCGAGTTAATCATAATTTTGGATAAAAATTATTTAGTGGGGAGTTTTTGCATCTTTAGGAATGGCAATAATTGGTATTATTCCAGTTGGTGTAATTCAAGCAATGACAAATCAACAAATAGGACTAAACATTATATCGGAAGTAATTGCAGGCTATATCTTTCCAGGACAACAGCTTGCCAACCTCACATTTAAGGTATACTCATACTGGGGAATGGCTCAATGTCTAACATTGCTTCAACAATTTAAATTTGGTCAATACATGAAAATACCTCCAAGAAAAATGTTCATCGTGCAAATATACGGAACGTTACTCGCTCTAACAGTAAATTACCTCGTAATGAACTGGATGATGAACAGCCATTTAGAAGATATCCTTCAAGACAAAAACGGATTCTCATCAATGATCCCAAAAATCGTGCAAACCGCCTCGATAATCTGGGGTGCCGCCGGCCCACAACATATTTTCAGCCCCGATAGCCTGTATTTCCCGCTAGTTTGGTGCTGGTTTATCGGATTCCTATTACCGATTCCGTTCTGGTTTATATATAAACGCTGGCCAAATTCGAGATTCCCATGGAGATTCGTGAATATTCCGTTATTATCTTACGGTGCGAATATAACGCTGCAGTTCAGGAAGGATTACTTGTTGATTGCTTTTGTAATTGGGTTCTGCACTCAGTTTGTATTGTATCGATATCGTCATGATTGGTGGAGAAAATATAATTATGTTGGAAACGCGGCGTTGGAAAGCGGAGCGCAGATTTGTGCGTTGGTTGTATTTATATTTACTAATGGATTTTTTACGGTGAGTTCTTGCATCTTATTAAAAAAATTTAACTTATAAAATTAATTTGTTGAAATCTTTATTTTAATGTTTAATAGAATGTACAATTTCCCGAATGGTATGGTAACAATCCACTCAACCATGAACAATGCGGTTAGCAATTTCAATCCAATCTTGTAAAAACACTTTCCATTGTTTAATAGTTTATATATAATATAATTCCCTCGTAAATACTTTTCATATTAACATTAACAGCAGCTTTATCGTTATTATTATACACTTTCATCATGTACAACAATTACATGTACATTCTTTTTTCGTAACGTATGCATGCTTGGTTTTTTGCTTATTATTTGTATATCGTTATTTCAATTTATTTTTATTGTCACTTATTTTGACATTGTATAAAACTGGGTTAGGGTTATCAGGATTCTCTATGAATTAGCAAATGCTATTTTTTAATTAAAAAACAAGTGAATTTGTTGGATACAAATATTGATATTTATAGTCTGAATCTGATTATCCAATCAATCATGAAAATTGAAAGCTTTGCAAAGATCCCAAAATATACTAGTGAAAAACGAAAGCACAATTAAAAATAATGATTCAGATTTTAGTATGGTAAGTGGCGATAATCACATTTACGTATAAATAGTTAATCCTTAAAATATTAATAAAGAAGATATTAATATAAACGATTACAGTATATTAAATTATACAAACTATGTACATGTACCTGATCCTACGCATCTAAAAGCGTATACTGTATGGAGACAGTAAATTTATTTCGCTATCTCTATAAAATTTTGACCGTAGCGTTAGATCATTTTAACGAGGTGGCTGAGATTTGCAAGAGGCTCAAAATTAGCATGGCTTTGTCGACAAGAATACATAGCCACATAAGAGCAAATATTGGCTATATTAAATAAAGCGAGTAAGAATTGTGAGCGTTTGTTCGAACTTTTGCGTTCAAACAAACATCTTTATACTTGATTATATTAATAAAACAAAATTTTACGAAGAAAAACAACAATAAAATGAAATCCGCAAAATTAATTCTTGTGTTAGTAACTTTATTTGCTGTTATTTACGGCGCATACGCATATTCAGATAAGAGGTGAGTGATTATTTGAATTCGTATAAGAGTTTCTTTTTTATCATTTATACCATATACAATATGCTATATTATTTAGAGATCCTCAGCAAAGCGGACCAGGATCTTCTGGAAATTCTAACAACGGACCTTTGACTAACTATGGTCCTCAGCCAAACGGTCCGGGATCGATTAACAATGGTCCTTCAACAAATAATAAAAATGGACCTTCGACTAATTCTCAGCAAACCGGACCAGGATCTTCTGGAAATTCTAACGGCGGATCCTTTATTAACAATGGCCCTCCAACAAATAATCAAACTGGAACTTCCGTAAATTCTAGCAGCACACCTTCAACCAAAGGAACTTCAAACAATACTGCTACAGAAAACAACGGTTCTACCACTCTGTCTCCAAATGGTGGAAATAACAACGGAACAAAAGGTAATTCTGCATAAATTCATCAGTCCCAGTCATAATAAGATAATAACCAGATAATTTTCAAACTGTAGGATCTGGAAATACTACAACTACTACTCCTGGCAATGCTGCCTCTTCTAATTCAACAGGAACTAATTCCTCATCGGGAACAAACTCATCATCAGGAACAAGCCCATCATCAACAAACTCATCAAAATCAGGAACAGGCTCTTCATCATCAGGAACGGGCTCGTCATCTTCAGGAACAGGCTCGTCATCATCAGGAACGGGCTCGTCATCATCAGGAACGGGCTCGTCATCTTCAGGAACGGGCTCGTCATCTTCAGGAACGGGCTCATCAGGATCCGCCTCGTAAATATTTATCTATATTAAAGTGAATAATAATATTTTATTTTTGTCTAACTAATTTAATCAACTATAGTGGATCTTCCTCAAGTAACGGCACACCTGGTAAATCATCTACCACATCTTCAAGTAACAGCACTAAATCTACGTCTGCAATAAACGCAGCTTCGCCTAATAGTCTCAGAAAAGATATTAATCATTACGGATTTGCTCTCACTGGTTTCTTTGTCATTTTAATGCATGTTATTGTTACTATGTTTTGATAGATTTATTGGTCCGTTTTTTAACACAAATAATTTTTGTATCGGCGGCATGTAATAAAATAAATTCAAGAGTCATACGTACACAACAAAATGTCACGTTTACTAATTTTTATTGGCTAATTAATTTATTCTATGGGCGAATCTATTTGTCGTCGCGGCGATATATCACCAGGATTGTAATCGGATCAAAGACGTAAAATCAAGCCGCAAGATCAATTTTTAAAAAACAAACGGTTGTTTTGAAATAACTTAAAAAAAAATTTTATAGATTGTTGTATTAATTCTTGTCATGAAATGTGTATATTGGGAATTTATGAATATTAAAAAAATTACATGATATATAATAAATCAAGATATAAGGAAAAGTCAATCATCAATTCATTGAAAATGCAAAGAATTGAGCAGAAATCCTTTGTTATAGATAAAATTATATTTCAAAATCACGGTATGGTGCAAATGACTTAGTCACATCAATATTGCATTATTACTTAATTTTTTGAAGAATTATCTTTTCTATCATATGCAATGCTAAATTTAAATTCTGAAAATTTGGCTATTATTATTAAAAATTAATATTAAAAAAAGTCTAATTACAAATAATTTTTATAATATAGACTAGTTTTAACTTAAAGTAACTTTATCTTATAGAAATTAATTATATTAGTATTTCTAACTGAAATATTGAACCAAACTTTTTGTCAGAGTCTGATTTGAAATTTAAATATAGTATCAAAGTTATACTTTTTGCTATTTTCAAGAACATAATTATATAAGGAGTGAAGAATATATTAAGCTTTTTTAAATTGACTTTCAAAGTTAATTATATAAATAATAAATAAATATTGGCTTTTTTAATATAAATTATTTAATAAATAAATTATTATTAAATTTAATAAATAGAATTTTTAGTTTATAAGCAAACTTATAAGAAATTTTAATTATATTAATTGAATTCTTTATTAATTTAACTTATTTATTATAATTAATTCTTTTTTAGATTAGTTAAAAGTTTTCAAATTATTTTTATTATATTTAATTTATTATTAATAAATTTATAAAACTTGAAAGTTAAAAATAAAAAATTTAAAATTAAGTTAAAACTAAATTATATAAAAAAGAATTTGAAACTTATGAAAATTCTGATAAAAATTTTTGAGCTCAGTTTTTGAATATTTAACCTTTTATAAATATTTATCAATTACTTAAAAAATTATTTTGAATCTCAAATTAATAAAACATTTTATTATTAATAATTGAGATAAGTTAATAAAAATTAAATAAAATAAATAAGAAAATGAAAAAATTATAAAATAAGTTAAAAAATAATTTGAATAAAAATAAAGAAAAAAATAAGTAATAATATTAATATATATATTAAGTTATTTATAAAAAAATTAAAGAATTTTAAATATTTCAAAAATAAAAATAAAATATATATATTATATAATATATTAATTATTTATAAAAAAGAATAAAATTTAAAAAAACATATATAAAAAGATATTATTTTAGAATAACTTTTTATAATATTATTTATAATTTTTCTTTTATAATTAAATTTTTTTAGAATTATTATATTTGAAACTAAAAATTCAAATTAAAAAATTATAAAAGTAATTATAAAGAATTATAATTATAAAAAGTACTAATTATATTTTAAATATTATAATAATTAATATAATTATAAAATTAAAAGATTAATTTTATTAATAAAATATAATAAAAATTAAAATTTTTTTTTATATTGAAATTTGTAATTTTATCAGAAAATAATTTTTATTTTTATATAAAATTAGATTATAAGTTATAATTTAATATATATTTTTTTAAATTCTTAAGATTTTTTCTAAAAGAATTATTTTAATTATAAAATTATTATAAATTTTTTTTAATTAAATTTTATTTTTAATTAAAAAAAATTATAATAATTCTTTTAGAAAAAATCTAAAAAAAATATATTAATTATAACCTATAAATTTTATTTTAATATAAAAATAAAAATTATTTCTTTAATAAAATTAATAATTTTAATAATAAAAAGAAAATTTTAATTTTTGTTATATTTATTAATAAAACTAATTCTTTAATTTTATAATTATATTAATATTATTATTTTGAAAATTATTTTTTATTTTATTATAAATTTTATTTATTATATTTTAACATAATATAAATAAATTAAATAAGCTTTATAATTTTAAAATATTTTAAATATATTAATAATTTATATTAATAAAATATTTTTCTTATTGAAGAAGTTAAAAATATTATTAATTTAAAAATTTAAAAATTATTTATAATTAAAATTTTAAAATAATTAATTATTAAAATTTTAATATTAATAATATAATAATAACCAAAATAGTAATTTAGAAGATAAATTTATTAATAAAATATAATGAAAATTAAAATTTTTTCTCTATATTAAAATTTATAATATTATTAAAAAATAATTTTTATTTTTATATTAAAATAAAGTTTATTAATTATAGTTTAACATATATTTTTTTCATATTTTTAGGTTTTTTTGAAAGAGTTATTTTAATTATAAAATTAATATAAAAATTTTTATTAATTAAAAATAAAATTTAATTAATAAAAATTTTTGCATTAACTTTATAAT